TAAACCAACTTATAACTATCCTCTGCGGTACCACGAAGGTCAGCTGCAGCTAGCCCATCTCTCCCATCACTATTTTCCACCGTGTCCATCTCATGACTTTCAAACGGCTCGCTTCATCAAGGAACATGGTCCCATTTGTCGCTCTACTACTTGAAATATGCTCCTCATTGAGTGAACAACCTACACTTCCTCGACTCTTCTCATACCCCTGATTTACGACTTCGACATGCAAAACTTCAAAATGATCTTCATTCATATCCATATAACACATAACATCATCATCATCATCAAATATGTATATTGGTCTCTTAGGCTCTACTGATTTTGGAACGTAACTCAATTTCAGCTCAGTCGTTGTTTCATCAACATTCGCCTTCCGGCATATCTTGTTCACCACTGCAGAATAAGTGACCTCCTCTGTCTCCATTCTAAGAGATTGATGAACTTTATCTCTTGAATTCCATCTTGTTTCATTTTCTCTTGTTGCATAATATCCCCCATAATCATATATTATGATTTTTCGATGGTTTTTATTCATTTTGGCCTGAAATAGAATAGGATAACTAACATTATAATCTCTGTCGTGTTCATAGTTATACCAAGTTGTGCCCGAATAGTTATACCAAGTTCTACCAGTTGTACTACAACGCACTACTAAATTCAGAATACATTCCTACGATTCAATTCAATTGAACTGTTACAATGCACACATTCTGAGAAATAGTCCACCCAATTCGACTCATATCCCTAATTGACAATGAGGATAAGAAAAATCGGATCAAATCCAAATATACAATGTTAATAGTTCAATAGAGAACAAATACAATCCACAACATTATGATTTTTCATGCCAACGAGTTTTGAATTTAACAATGGATACGAATTAGTGTATTACCTCAGTTGTTGGGTTGCTTCTCGTGTTGATGAGAGAGACGATGGAGTTAAACGGAAGAGGAGCTCGCCCTCGATCGTGGTTGAAGATGAAGATCGTGGCTGGAGATGAAGAAGAAAGAAGATGGTGGTGTAGTGGGATCCGCGTCCATTTTCTTTTTCTTTTTTTATTTAATTAAATCAATCAATAAGAAAGGGCAAAATTTATCTTTTATTTAGTCAATATAAATCAAGGAGTACTTATAACATATAAGGATAGGCAAGTATATAAATTATGGTCAAATGGCACAAGAGATTCAAGTTCATTTTTTGTCGGCCAACATCTATTTTACCGATTTATCCTTTTACCTTCATCAATTTTTTTATTTTTTTGGGGTTATTTCGGGCTCTCTGGTCAAACGGAGGCTCGTGAGTTGTGTCTACAATCTGTTTTGTGCACAAAGACGGTGCACAGTGCTGGTTTTCTAAAATGTCACGCTGTTTTTATATGATTAAAAACGACATGTAGTTTCATTACAAATCATGCTGTTTAAATGACAAAAAGACGGCATGTAGTTGCAATCCAGATCACCATCATCATCATCATCATCTCTAATCCTTTTTGTATCTTCCCTTATCTAACCCAACGATAAAACGCAGGAGCCATAGAAGAAGAGATAAAACTCTGTGTGTGTGTGAGTGAGTGAGACTCGACAATGGCGTCTTTGGCTCAGCAATTCACGGGATTAAGATGCTCTCCACTTTCTTCTTCCTCTTCTAGGTTATCAAGGAGAGCGGCGAAGAATTTTCCCCAGAACAAATCCGCCTCCGTTTCTCCGACTATCGTCGCCGCCGTTGCGATGTCAAGCGGCCAAACAAAGGAGCGTCTCGAGCTCAAGAAGATGTTCGAAGATGCTTATGAACGGTGCAGAAATGCTCCTATGGAAGGTGTTGCTTTCACTGTCGACGATTTCGCTGCTGCTATTGAACAATACGACTTCAATTCCGAAATTGGAACTAGGGTTTGTCTTATCTCTTTTTCTTACTTGAGATTTTTTGTTGGTTCTGTAGAATTTGGGTTCGTTGGTGGTTAATGATGTTGTTTATAGGTGAAAGGAACAGTGTTCAAGACTGATGCAAATGGTGCATTAGTAGATATTTCTGCGAAGTCATCGGCTTATTTGACAGTAGAACAAGCTTGTATTCATAGAATTAAGCATGTGGAAGAAGCTGGGATTGTCCCTGGTATGGTGGAAGAGTTTGTCATCATTGGTGAAAATGAGAGTGATGACAGTTTGTTACTGAGCTTAAGGAATATTCAATATGAACTTGCTTGGGAACGATGTAGGCAGCTTCAGGCTGAGGATGTTATTGTCAAGGCTAAGGTATTGTTTGGTTGTAAACCTACTTTGCTACTCTTGTTGTTGTTGTTTCTGGTTTTTAATCTTAGCAATTGGGTTATATGTATAGGTTATTGGTGCTAACAAAGGTGGATTGGTGGCTCTTGTTGAAGGTCTTCGTGGATTTGTGCCATTTTCGCAGATTTCATCGGTTAGTTGTTAAGATTTTGTGGGTTATTCAATATGGTGGTGTTTTCAGCAAGGATCTTAGTTGCTTTTAAGATAAAACACAACCGGATTATAGTGTTTATGGTCAAACACACAATTTTGATATATATGATGTGTCTTTTGTCAGAAAGCAGCAGCAGAAGAGCTTCTTGAAAAAGAAATACCTCTCAAGTTTGTGGAGGTTGATGAGGAACAAACAAAGCTTGTCCTCAGCAACCGTAAAGCTGTAGCAGACAGCCAAGCTCAGCTTGGTATTGGATCTGTGGTTCTTGGAGTTGTTCAGAGCTTGAAACCCTATGGTGCCTTTATTGACATTGGTGGAATTAATGGGCTTCTTCATGTCAGTCAGATCAGTCATGACCGTGTCTCAGATATCGCAACTGTTCTTCAGCCTGGTGACACTTTGAAGGTCTTCTATGAATATTCTTATAGTTTTTATTTCAGATATTGAAACAGCAGTTCCTAACTTATAATCTACAGGTTATGATATTGAGCCACGACCGTGACAGAGGAAGAGTAAGTCTCTCCACAAAGAAGCTGGAGCCAACACCTGGTGATATGATTCGCAACCCAAAACTTGTGTTTGAGAAGGTAACTCTAATTTTCATTGAAATACTTACTTTCTTGATATTCTCCTTTGTCTTAATCATTTGCTATTTTTCTGCTGTCTCAAGGCTGAGGAGATGGCTCAGACATTCAGACAGAGAATCGCGCAAGCAGAAGCTATGGCTCGTGCAGACATGCTTCGTTTCCAACCCGAGGTATGATTACCCACTTGTCTGATCTTTTTTATCCATTCTTATTGCCATCAAGCTCCAAAAGTTTAGTAACTATCTAAGATTCGTTTTCATATTACCTTATCACCAAATATTAGTTATCGGATTTCGAGAATTATGCTGTTCTTTTCGGCACGTTGGTTTATTAGAGCGGAGATAACCGTAGAAGCTTTTAGTTGGTGTTTTTTGTTAAGGATAACAGATTCATGTTTTTGTGTGTATGAGCAGAGCGGACTGACACTGAGTTCTGACGGGATACTAGGACCACTTGGATCTGAGTTACCAGATGATGGCGTAGATCTAACTGTCGACGACATTCCTTCTGCAGTTGATCTTTAGATTCGAAAGCTTTAGTGTACTTTTTGATACAGAAAAACACCTTTGAGCTCAATGTAATATGCAGTTCACTCCTACAAGACATTGTCTCATGTGTATGTTTTCTTATGTAATTGATATTTCCTATTATAACAACGTCGTCAAGAAATCAATGAATTAAAGGCTTGGCCTAAGACCAAACAGAGGACACGGCCTGTGTCTGAAAGTATCAGTCTTAAAAAACAACTAAACTCGATGGCACTTGTACGCCACGAAGCAGCTGACTCAACACCGTAAAACATTTCAAGTTGGTAAGTAAATGCAGGATAGGAAAAAACATTCCAAGAATAGTTTGAGTTGATTTTGATTGTTTCTCCAAACATGGGGTTTCAAAAGTTGGACTTAAGATGCATTGCAAGCTCATTGTCCGTGGACTACAAAGTGGATGATCTTAATTTTGGCGAACTCATTCGAGAGACATAAAAACATAAATCCCAATCAATCAACAAAACGGGGACTCAGTTTAGAATCTGCAAAGAATGTGACCAAATCACTTGAGAAAATGGTACAAAGTCTACTAAGATCACTTCACTTCTCTAAAATACCATAACAAGATTACTTACAGCAGATTTTATGAATGAGTCGGTTACATTTCAGACATCATCGTGTCTTCTCTTGGACTGAAGAGCTAAACGAGCGTCTCTCTCTTTCTCAAACTGTCTGTAGTCAGCTCTCTCCAGGAAACTGACTTTGTCGAGATACTTGTCTGAGCTTTTCTTGTACTTATCTAGCTCGTCTTCAACACCTTTGTTATCCTCCTTATACTCTCCCCAGTCTTTCTTCGTCTTGTCCAATACACTCAGTTTTTGTTTCTTTTTTATCTGCTCAAGAACCGCATCAACCGCTGACGGCGTCGCCGAGGATGAAGAGCCTTTGTTCCCCCGGTCCAGTGCTTCTTTTGAATCCATTTCCACTAACCGCTTTACTTCGATTTCTTGACCCGCAAAGTCTTTAACCTCGGTTATCTGGAAATGATCAAGAAAAACAAATACATTAACCGAATGAATGCTCCCTAAGTGCAATTCACAGATCACATAAGTTCAATTAGTTAGATTCCAGTCCAACACAATCCATCTTCCTAGTTCCAAACATCTGACATGATCTTAGATTCTAATTCAGATCCAAAACACAAACTCAAACAAAAAGCAAGTTTTCTCTATGGATTGCAAAGGTTCAATCAAACCACATATTGACTTGAGACAAAGATTCCATAATCCACCTTCTTGCTCAAAACAGCTGATAGGATCTTAGATCAAACAGTACTGAGCCAAAACACAGAAATTTTATTAAAAATACAAACTTTATATACCAATGGCAAAGATTCAATCAAACTACATTCTACCTCGAGGCAGAGAAATTTTAATCCTAAACAATCTATATTCCTAGTTCCAAACAGCTGAAATGATCTTAGATTCTATCAAATCAAACCCAAAACACAAACTCAAACAAAAAGCAAGTTTTCTCTATGGATTGCAAAGGTTCAATCAAACCACATATTGACTTGAGACAAAGATTACTCAGTCCACCTTCTTGCTCAAAACAGCTGATAGGATCTTAGATTCAAACAGTACCGAGCCAAAACACAGAATTTTTATTAAAAATACAAACTTTATAAACCAATGACAAAGATTCAATCAAACTACATTCTAACTCCAGGCAGAGAAATTTTAATCCTAAAAATCTATCCTCCTAGTTCCAAACAACTGATATGATCTTAGATTCTATCAAATCAAACCTAAAACACAAACTCAAACAAAAAGCAAGTCTTATCTATGGATTGCAAAGGTTCAATCAAACCACATATTGGACTTTAGACAAAGACTCATCTCCTCAATCCGTCTTCTAGCTCAAAATAGCTGATATGATCTTAAATTCAAACAGTACTGACCCAAAACACAGACTTCATATACGATAGCAAAGAATCAATCAAACTAGAGATTTTAGTCCTACACAATCTATATTCCTAGTTCCAAATAGCTGATAAGAACTTAGATTTCAACAATACCTAGCCAATAAACAAAAAGAGCAAGCTTTATTTAGTGGCTCAATCCAATTACAGTTTAAATTGACACAGAGATTTAAACCTTACACACCCACTCCATCTTCATGGTTCCAAAGATTCTATCAAGCTAGACCCAAAACACAAATGCAAACAACTAACCTCAATCTTGCCACGGCTCGAAGCAGCAGCAGCGGTTGCGGTTGCGTTTCTAACCGCAGCTAAAGCGGCTGCAGCAATACTCTTAGCCTCCTCACTACAACTATGATTCAAAACGTTATCTTCGTTTTGTACATTCGAAACGCATTGATCTTTCTTCTTCGGATCCACACCAAGATAACTTTTCCAAATCTGCAAATCTCAAATCCCAAATAATTAACATAACAAAACAAATCAAAACGTAGAGAGAGAGATCGAATAAAAAAATCTCACGTTATTAGCTGGTTTTTTAGCGGGCAAAGCGGTTGAGACAAAATTGAGCCGCTTATTTGGAACTCCTTCGTTCATTCTCTGCCAAATCTCCGAAACTTTCTTAGATACGCTGCTTGAACCGGTTTGCTTAGGAGATTCCTCATGAGACCCCATTCGATAATTTAGGGTTATGAAAATACAGGATCTAGAGGATGAGAAGAAGAGTCCGTGACAACAGTAACGAGGAAGAAACGAAGAAGAAGAAGAAGTTAACAAGGTTTTGTGTTTAAAAGTGGATTGGGCCCTGGTTTGATTTAGGCCTGATAGAAGAATATCTTGATGAGGTTGGTTTAAGCCCAATCGGGTAAGTAGTTTTTGCTCATAAAACTAACTAGGTTCGGACCCGCGCTGTAGCGCGGAGGAAATAATTACATATATATAATTTTTAACGGATTATAATATGTTACATTTTAATTTTGTTAGAGTGCAGTCGATTACGGTAAATCATATATTTGTATAATAAGTTTAAATAAAATAATAAAGAAAAAGCGAGTAAATAATCATATACTGAGTTTTGTCGATAAATTATTCATTTTGACTATTTTTGTAGTAAAAGTAGGAATACACGTAAAAATTACATATTTACAATATATTTTTTGAAAGTCCGACCCGTAACAGAATTCATTTCGTAAAAAACATTATTCGTAACTCGCTTTATCATTATAATTGTGATTTTAACAAACTACCCGTGAATTATCTAAAATTTACATAGTTTGATATATAATATATTTTATCAATAAAAACTATGCCTCCAAAATTACATTTACGTCTTCAAAAAATATTTCAATATTTTAAATTCTAAAAGTTTTATATATTTGAACCTATTATTTATAATATTTTGAAACTATTTGAAATTTTAAATATGCTAATGTAACAATGGTTTTAATATTGGTCATACTTATAATGATTTTAAACCATTGTCCAAAATATTTAACCGAGTGTAGTTGAGTATTATATGTCCGTTTTGAAAAATTCAAATTGCAATATATGCAAAAAAAAAGTTAAATTTTTATTTAATATTTATATTATATAATATAATATCATAAATTAAAAATAACATCAAATAAAAGTGAAAGAAGACTAATATTTTTTTAATAGATTATATTAAATTAGTTAGAGAAATATTAGTAAATCCTATAATTAGTTATGGAAATAATATAATCCTAAAATTAGATTTGGAAAATATCCGGTGTATGTATCCAAACCCATTAATCTATCCAACTTTAAAAGATCCAATTACAAGTTTCGGGTAATTTTTTGAAATTGACCCGACCCGGAAGCACTTTTTGTACTTCTCTTTTACTAATATAGGGATTTATACTGGTTCAGCTAAAGCTGTGAATGGAGACACTGATAAATTAATGCTTTGCCGGGAGAACTGCATATGTGTTTCCATTCATAATTTTTATCTATATTAACAAGATTTATTGTTTTCAAAAATTAGTTTACTATCATGTTTGCAATATATTATGTACATGCGGTGTTATGTTTAAAAACGTAATTATTAGAATTGTTATTAAAATTCTTAATCCAAACTTGTACATGTTCAATATTTGTTTGTTTTTAATTCGGTATAGACAAAAAACGATAGGATTTTTTTTTATATAAGTAACGATAACTACATTAAAATATAATAAAATAAAGTGGTTTGTTTATTTCAAGACATGAACTCCATCTCGTCTTGTCTCTTCCTAGATATCTCATGTTTTTCCATCTCCGAAACATGGTTTTAAACTTTTAATTATAATTTATCCATTTAAGATCGTATATTTTATTCCAAAAAATTGGAAATAAGTAAAAAATTGAGACTTATTTGAACATATTTTTATTTGGTATGATATTCATAACATAAACATATATTGGTTTGCTTTTATCAAATTTGTGAATATTTGAAGTAATTATCGCTTCACAATAAATTTTGGATCATCATTTGATCAAAGCGGACCCGGATTGAATGTGAACCAGTTTAGTAATCAGCTAAAGAAAAAAACTTTAAAACTTCTCGGCCTAGATGGCCCAAATATATTTGTCGGACGGGTCAAAGTCGTCCACTATGCATGCTTTACAACAGATTAAAATAATTTTAATCCCCAAAAGATCCATTCAACATAATTTACATTAATGGTATGTCCGCATATGTCTTGCTTGAATTCGTTTACCCTAAATTTTTGTCACCAATTTGATTAGGAAAAGTTTAGATAATGGTTTTTATTTTTCGAATTACTGTTCTCTCCTCGTACATGTTATTTTTTGTAGTCTATATTAATAAATAGTAGTTCCACATCTACCCTACTTGAATTTAGGTTACACAAAATTCTCGTTACTCCGTATTTTATTAAGAATAGTTTAGGTAATGGTTTTAATTTTATAAATTACTCGTTTTCTTTCCATACTTGTTATTTCATGTGTCAATATTTGCAATAACAAAGAAAGTTGAAATTAAATTAAGCTATTTAAATCTCAACTTCATGTATCATACCAGTTATATAATATTTCGAACTTAACTATCCAAATATCCACTTTTTTGTTTCCTCAGTTTTAATGTCTCCATCTAGTCTAGTAGTTATAGTATGGACTGTGTACTAATTATATGTAATATTGAATTTATATTTTCCGTTTAGTAGAACATACAAAAAGAGTAGAACAAAACAAAATAAAGAATCTGACTTTATCATGGTTTTTTTTTCAACCACACATTTATTAAAATATTAGCATGGTTTATTTATGTTATTTGTTTTTAATATTTTTTTTTGGTCTAAAGCTGCTAAAAATCTGGTTTAAATTATGAGAAATTGATACCAATAACCTTTTTATGATACCCTCTTTTAAAAATACCCTCTTTTTTTACCATTTTCATTTTTGCCCTCTCTTAATTTTTAATGGCTATTTTACCCTTATTTGAAAGAATATTCTTTCACAAAGGAAGGAATATTCCTTCCAAAAATTCCCCCCCCCCAAAAA